TTTAGTCCATTCTTTGAAAAGGAAGCTCATTTCTTTCTGTAGGTCATTTCAACTAGATTTTTATTCAATATATTTCAACTTTTATTTTCTCCTACACCACAAAGTGACTCGACTCCTTATATTTTTAAATATTTCTCTCTTAACAGGAAATAGTTTTTGCTTAGTGTCATGGCAGCGAAATAGTATGCCTTCTCGCTCCACGTGCGCATGTTAAATATTAAAGAGGCTTTTGAGTTTCAGGTTAACAACTTCTTGGTGAATCCCCCTCCCTAGGCCCATCCATCCCAACCTGTTCCTACAATGAGCTGCAATGCCTTACTATCTTCAACGAAATACTATTCGATGTAAAATCGCAACTCCGCCCGTCTCCCTTCCCAGGCTAAGAATACAGGTACAAAACAGTGAGCTGCCGCCAGGCTTTCATTCTAAGTAACACACCTTTGGGGCCATCATCCCCTGCTCTGGTCCTTATTCAGAACGCTGCTGCAAAGCCAGAGTCAAAACAAGTGAAACAATACATGGATAGGTCTATAATACTTTTTAACAGCTCTTTACAACATAGGTCAATTACAAAACCAGCGTTAATATGGAGACCTTTGTGTGTAATAATATTCTAATTGCAGCGATAACAGCATGCACACCAGAGTTCATCTTTAGTACATAAACGGGTGGAGGAAGTGAGGGCGAAGGGGTGGTGGTGGCTGAGGGTGATAACGTGGCTTGCTGTGAGCAAGTAAGTCCCCAGGGAAGCCCACTTCGTGACCCAAGTGGCCTAAGTTGTCTTCTTGGGATCAGATTAGGAGAACCGGACAGCTTCATCACAGACCGTGTCCGAATCCGCAGCACAGCAGCGAGAGGCCAGCCCCGGCTCCCCTGCAGGGAAAGCTCCCGCCAGAGGTACACGCCCAGCAGCAGAGGGGTGCGGGGTGCTCGGAAGACTGACGCGTCCTTCACTTCGGGGAGGCGGGGGGCTAGCTGGAGTGCGGGACGAGGCCAGGAGATGCCTTTCCACATGGTGGAAACATCAGTGCGGGCTCCACAGTGCGTCACCTGAGATTCCTCTCCGACGGCTGGGTGGTGTGTGGTGCTTTTCCAGCATCTTCCTTCGGGCCTGAAACAGCCTGGTTTGGGAGGCACAGGTGAAGCCCGGGGTCCGTCAAGAACACATCAGCAAAGTTCCACTTGCGGTCCGCGCGTGTGACGGGGACACCATCAGCTCCAAGAAACGTGCTCGCTGCCGGGGGCTGAGGGGGCGCAGCAGGCAGCGTGCGGGTGACCGGAGGCCAGGGACAGGGGCAGCGCGCGCGGAGCGGGGTCGCGTCCTGCCCGGGGCGCTCACTGCTTGTCTGAGTCGCTCAGGTTCACGGACATGCACCGGCACTGCTTCACCTTCTGGATTTTTTTGAGTCGGAAGGGAGGGTCCAGCCCGGGGCATTCGAGCTCCACAAGGACCGAGGTGACGCGCTGGGGCTTGCAGAAGGCGCAGGACTGGAAGGACTCCTCCTCCTTCTTCACGTGCCGCGGGATGTAGAAGGAGTTGCACTGGCCGTAGCAGAAGCGGTTGAGCACCGTGCGGCTGCGGCAGCCCTCCTCGCCCACCGTCTGCCGCAGCGGCTGCGTCTTGCACCAGTCACTCTTGAGGTACTTGCGCTCGGTGACCACTAGGGCCTCCTGGCTGGAGGCCAGCACCTCTTTGATTTGGTGCTGCCATCTCTCCGAGGTGTTACTGCTGCCGTCCTTGTAAGGCGACGGGATGGCGCCCGCGGGCCGGTTCTTCCGCGCATCCCCCACCTTCAGCAGCACCGCCACCAGCAGCAAGGACAGGGAAAGCTTCCAGAACATCCTGCAATGAGAAAAGAATTAGAGGGGTTGGTTGGGACGGGTGATCGCGTGTGACATCGTTTCCCTTTTAATGTTTTATAGTTTTCTTAGGAGGAGCTGCGGTCAGGTGGGGCGAGGCTGGATGCTGGATGCCCAGGGGCAGCTGGAGATTAGAAATGGTTAAACAGCAAACTTACAGACAGCAATGACGCTGTCTTGAATACTGCCCAAAGGCAAGGAGGTGGACAGAACAGAAAACATCCATACGTTGAATAACTAGAATAGAATCGCAAAGCAAAGGCTGTCAAAATTGGCTCAGGCCAGTTTGCCCGAATATCAGGGATAGTTAACATCCAACATTTCCTGTGTTTCGGTGCATGCCAATTGCTGTCCTAAGTGCTTTACATGTATAGCTCATTTGATCCTCAAAGCAGCTTTCAGATGACATTATTTATTATCCCCACTTTATGGTGAAGGAAACTGAGACCCACAGACGTTGAGGAATTTGCCTGAGGCTGCACAGTTACTAAGTAAAGGCCCAGGATTTAGAGTCAGGCATCTGCCTCCAGAGCCATCAAAATTAAGCATTAAATGTGGATATGATCAGGAAAATTAATAAAAAGCAAAGGAAAGGTGAACATGGTTCACAAGTCTCTTAAAAATGAGTGTAGAAGTTAGAAATGGACATAGATTAGGAAAATTAATATTTGCACTTTGTGCCTCTGTTAATTGTTAACAAATAATAAATAACATTTAACATCTGCACAAAGATATTCAAATAACTCAAATGAGTCATGAACTAGATTCTTGCATGGGAAACCACTACCCAGGTATGAATTAAGATGTGTCCATGGCTGTATGAAAACTGCCTTAGGCCGACGTGATGGTGACCCACATGGATGAATGACTTGGTCCATGACTCGGTCCAGCAAATACTTGATGGTTGGACTAGAGAGAAACTATTCTTACTCTAAACCACGTCTTATAGAAAGCAAACCAAAGTCTGACTGACGGACTTCTTTCGAGTTTAAGTCATAGTTTTCATTGTTGTACTTTCATTAATAGCATTGAGGAACAGCAGTACTCCTCAATAGGTGCTGGATGTTCGCTGTTGTGTTCTATGAGACAGGTGTTACTTCCTTTTACAAGTGGAACTCTCATTTCCACTCTTGTCACCATTGCCATCACCATCATACTCACATTTACACACCCCGTCTCTGTGGAAGTACATGAGACGCTCATTCCTTTAGCATGTGCAACCCAAAATGGCAGGCAAAAATTAGATATATATAAAACATTATATAGTTATAAGATGTATATTAATTATAATATATAGCTTGCATAAGCATATATAATGACTAAATTTTAATATTAAATATATTAAACTTCTTAAATTATTACAGATTTAAACATATTCATGCTAATGATAATAGTTAATATTTATTGGTGCTTGAAACATCAGACACTCTTACTTTCATGTATAAACAATTATCAGTGTTCTACGAAATAGGTATTATTTCCCCCATTTTATGAATGAGAAAATTTATGCATTGAGAGGGTGCATAAATTTCCAAGATCACACCGCTGGTATATTTGAGTATGCATCTTGGCTCCAGGAGAATATAGTTGCCTCTTTGTTAAAAAATAAAAATATTTGCGTTGAAATATCTAAGCTAGACAGATAGCATGATAGGAGGTCAAAAGGTACAAACTTTCCGTTATAAGATAAATAAATTCTGGAGATGTAATGTGCAGCATAAAAACATCTAAGCTAAACTATTTCCCCGTGTCACTGTTATTAGTCTATGTTTAAGCCACAAAAGGCTTTTGCATGTCACCAGCAGGTGATTCCTTTAGTCATCAAGTATTTGTTGAGTATTTAATCTATAGCAAGCACTATGATAAGCCTTGTGAATTCCAGTAACTCCCCAGAGACAGAGTTCTTACAGTGTCACGTGAACCCTTGCAAGATCTGCCCTCCTCACCCTGTTCCCGCAGGGCCTTCTCAGCGACTCTCACCTCCTTGCCAGCTTTCTGTTTCTAGAGTGCACTCAGCATTCTTCTGCTCTAGAGCCTTACATTGCCTTTCCCCCAGAATAGTATGGCCTCCAGTGCATGGCCTTCTCCCACGCAGTCTTCAAGTCTTTGCTCAATTATCACCTACTAGTTAGGTCTTAGTGGGCAATTTCCCACAGCCCTGGCATTCACGGTCTCCTTCCCTGCTTTGTTTTACTCCATGACACTTCACACGTTATAAGACAGTATTTAATGATATTTTTTCTTCTTTTTGTATTGTCTGACTCCCCCACTGGCATGTAAGGTCCAAGAGAGAAGACTACCTGTTTTGTTCATTGCTGTAGCACCTGCGTTCAGAACAGTGTCTGGTTCATGAGAGGAACTCAGATATGTGTTGAATGAAATAGGATTACCATTTGTTTCCGTGCCTTCAACGAGCTTGTAATTGAGAAGATAAAGGCATGCAAATGACAATGTATCAGTTACACAGAAACAATGGCACAGGCTCTCCTGGTAGCGATCCTGGAACCAATAATGTCTGAATCACCTGGGATGTTTTAGAATGTACATTCCTGAGTTCTACCCCAAAACGTCTGAATCGGCAGAGCTGGGGCAGAGTTTGAGATCTGTATCTTAAAGAAGTGCTCCAGGCGATTTCACGGCGCCCCAGAGGGTAGTGAAGGAGTGAGGAAAGAGCATCAGCTCTTCCCGGAGAGGGAGCAGGAGATGCTTAGAAAGCATCCCCCTTTTTAAACTATTTTTGGGGTGACATGGATTACTAAAATGATACAAACTAAAAAGCTTCTGCGTAGAAGGCATCTCTTAAGATCCTCCAGATGATGACACTGCCCAAAGTGCAGGAGCCAGGTCAACGTAAGTGACATGGACAAGGAAAGTAAAACAATTAAGATCAGAAGGAGGGGAAAAAAAAAGAGATGGTTTTCTTTTTTCTTGTGTAGAAACATTTTGTCCAATACAATTATTGCAATTTTAAGACCGAGTTTTTAAAGAGTTGTTCTCATGCCTCCTTATTTCCACACATGCAGTGTCGTATAAAAATGGCCACACTTCCAGCAGGCTCATGGCAAGCATCGAGTATGAGACTTGCTCAGCTTACACAACTTATTTTATATTTGCAGAATGATTTGTGATCTCAGTAGTCTCTTAAAAATAAAATATGTTGGTTCCATTTTAATAATTTCTGAAATTATTAATGTTCTGAGCAAACACAACCAAAAATTTGCAAGTCCCAGCCAGGAAAGATTTTCAGACTCAGCCTGGTCCTCAACTCCTCGTTCTAGTAACCGCTTCATGTGCATCTTCGATAGGCTCAAAAATGTGTGCTTTCACTCACAGGTCCTAGTTGTCATCAGGGAGAACAGAGCTAAAACATGTTCAGATTGATTTGGGGCAAAAGCTCTTAAGAGTTGACAGTATTAGATATGGTGATTAACAGCATGCATTTCAAACATTTTCAAAACATCTGGCAATCACGCTTAGAAGTTATGCCTCATAAGAACCTAAGAAGAAAAGCAAACTTCCCATTTTCAGGACCTGGAGAGGAGGCTGATTAAAGCTAGGCGACTGCCAGGCTCCTCTCTCTTTCCTTCCCACATCTTATTTCTTTTCTCTTTCACACACAGCAACGGTAAGATTGCCAACATTCTGGAGTCTCAATGTCAGAACATGTAAGAAGGCAAGAGGTATTTTGCAGTGGTGACCGTTAGGCTGAATCCTCTTTGCTTCAAGGATACTAAAGCAATTGAGCCAGCTCTTGCTCACAGCACATAGTCAATTGACCCTTCGTTGGGTGGGGCTCATCTGGGGAGAGAATGTGCATGCCGCTTTCTTTGGTTCTCCAACCACCCATGCAGACACATGTCGGTGGCCCCACCAGGACCTGAATTTAGCACTACAGAGTCCTGCTATGTCCTGAACCACTTTGCTACTCAGAGAAATGACTGGCATACAATTAACCTCTCAGGAATTCTGCCACACCTGCCAGTAAGGACAGCACAAAGATTCTTCTTCTTGCCCTCATATCTGGTGTTTGGCTTGTATCAGAAAAAAAAAAAAAAAAAAAAAAACCTTGTAAATAAATCCTGTTGGTTTTATGAATGATCTTTGTGGCCTAACAATGTTGTGAACTTGTGAGGGTTGCCAGGACTGTAGTTGCTGATGGGCTAAGCAGACTGGGTTGTTCAAAGAGAGAGCTTGTGTTGGCGCCTTCTTCTTAATTGAATGTCCTGGCCTTTGTAGATACCAGAACGAGGGCAGAACTAGTCCAAAAAAGTCTAGTATTTAGGTAACTATAGAATAACTGGCACTTTCTATCAGCCTTTCTGAGAAGTGTCAAGGGATTCTACAATAGGAGCTAATTTCTAGGAAAGGAGACAGCAGTGCTGAACCATCCTGGCCAAAAGATCTATGTACGTGAGCAAAGGCCTAGGTTGGAGCTAAGCTGATGAACTCACTTCAAGTGACCTTGCTGAGTTTTAGAGGTCAGGTCAAGCGGTGCTGGGCTGTTCATGAGTGGTGAATGGGATGGGGCTCAAACATTTTCTGTGACCTAAGAATTCTAGGGCATCCTTGGAAGATTGAAGGGATGTACCCCAGGGCTGAACCTAGGATAGACTTGTTCCCACAGCCCAAGTAAAAACAGAATCAAATTAAATTAAAAAAAAACCTCCAATCCTCTGTCTCCCCCCAACAATGTTAGAATTCAGAGATTATTTTTATGAGTTTTACTACTAGAACCTCAACAACTAGAGATATTTCATTCGTGACTTGGATTCTTGGGCTGGGAGGGTAGAGTTTAGCTCCCCAGCTAGATACAAATGTTCCTTTGCCCCTGGATCATTCTTTTAGCGAAAGATAGGTTGTCTGCCGAAGCCACTTACCTTGAGCAACTGTAATCTGTGGCAAGCTATGTCCTACACGCTAAAACCAACCTGAAGTTGTTTTTGTTCTTGAAGACTACTGAACACAGCCATGCCTACTCACCT